ACATAATTTCATACCAAGATCCGCATTAGAACTGGTCTTCAACAATCCATGTTTGTCGTACGAGGTAGACACAAGTCAGCGTATCCCACTTGCGTAGATCGATACTCATGAAGTTGAACATTGTTTATCTCGTGCAGACTTGATTATTTACAGACCGCCGCCATGTATCTGGAATATTGCTGAGTGGTTAAAGCGTTTGCTCGTCACGCTGAAGACCCGGGTTCCATTCCTCACGTGGAAACTATTTATGAAGCCCATTTCTGGTGTCCCCCTTCACGATATTGATTGAATACTGCTAAACGCGACGCAAACCTAAACTCACTCACTCACCCACTTACTCACTCAAAGTGTCTACGTGCAATAATCTTGAATCTTAAATCCTTTGTTTTACCTCACTATATCATGTTATGATGCTGGGGATTAAATCTGTAAATCTGTCTAGCATATTTTTAGCATTATATTATTGTAAAAAGACATTGACGTCAATGCATGTATAGCTGTACAATAAAGCAACAACCATACAGTATCAAATCAGTCTTGATGATTACTTCAAAGACATTGATTACTTAACTACATGAAACCCTCAAGGATCTAAATATATGAATGTACCTCCGCGGTTACATGTACATGGAGGTTCATTAAAATCAGCATCGATTTCGCTATATATAAACATCGCAGTTTGCACCAGTCATGCTTATCCATTTAAAAAAGGTGTAATTACCTTTAATGCAACATCATCAGTTTCCGTAATTGAGAGTGATTGAGTGAGTATGTTTTTATGCCTCTTTTAGCAATATTCCAGCGATATCACGGCAGGGACATAACAAATGAGCATCACATGTTGTATGCATGTGGGGAATCGAACCCGGGTCTTCAGCGTGTCGAGCGGACGCTTTAACCATTAGGCCCTCCCACCGTCCCCCGTAATTATAGAGGTCAAAGAGTTAGATAATTATAATGAGCAGAAAGGGAATTTCATATGTAACAAAATCCTTACAGTATGGAAATTAACATGATGACAAGGGAAGTATGAAATAGAGTGGCCTTTCAATAACTTTTATGCTTAATGAAATTAAATAACGTCATAATTAAGTCAGCGCAGTTGTATCGAGAAACCAAATTATTTGTGAAAATAAATCATTGTTTTAAAAGTAACAATGCAACAATCGTGAGGATGTTTTTTTAATTGTAGTAATTATATATGGTATCCCAAAAGTAAATTTAGGTTCCCGCTGTCCTGCAAACATACTTGAAGATTAGTTGTCAGATGATTTGGAAAACAAGAACTTCTAAATGCCCTTCAAAGACACTAAACGGAAAAAACAGTCATTATTTGCCGGCTGTTACATTGTTGAATTACTGTGTTTTTCGTAAGGATTTTGTATTACTTAAATTCCTCAATCGCGGTCCGTATTTTAATATTCTTACTTTTGAGAGCCTTCATCGAGAACAGTGGTAAATCATGCTATGTTGCCAACACGTTGCGAAGTCAAATAAAATCAAACAAACCGAATCCATACATACACATAATTTTCCTTCTAAGATGCCTAGCGGTTAGAACAATCGAAAAAAACAAACATTATCAGACAATAAAGGTATAGTTTTTTGATGACGTAACAATTGAATGACGTTATCCCGTCACTGCGCCATTCTAGTGTGCCCCCTCGTAATCGAACCATTTTACATTACGTCACAATGTAAGCGACGTCACGATGCATGTCAGTTGTCATCGCCTCGTACGGACCCCTACAGTAAACTACACCGTTGCATCCAGTTTCTTGGTTTGCTGTTGCTTCACGCAGCTAGCATCACTGGTGGAAACATTACGTTTATGTTTTACGACGGTTAAAATGTGTCATTTCGACTCACAAGTTTTCAGCGACACGGTAACGTTCGTAATGTTTACATTCCCACAATGCAATTGTGGAACGTCGCTTGACTACTCAACTTCCTCTGGATGTACTGATCTAAACTTACGCTGGTAGTAGAAATACAACGTTCATATTGCCCCATATGGTTTACGTTAATGACATGTGTAATTAAAATAATTCAGAGAAGATATTTAATCCGAACGTAAACCGTCATCAAACTGTTATCATTTGTTTTTTTCTGGTAACGTTCGTCTTAACGTAGGGGGCAGACACATCAATAAAACAGCGCACCAGTTAGCCCTGTGCGAGGATTCTTAATTTAGGTCACCGACACCGTCGTTTGTTTTCTAGTGATCACAATCTAGTGATCAACATTATGAGCATAGATCGTCGTCACTAGGATACGATGACATGTGCCAACCAAGTCAGCGAGCCTGACCACCCGATCCCGTTAGTTCGCCTCTTAAGACAAGCATGGATTGCTGAAGATCAATTCTAACTCGGATCTTTACGGGTCCGAAATCGAATGAACTTGATAAAGTCACAAATAGCTGTAAAGTTATAGTGACGACACCGGGTGTGCGCGAAGTATCACGTGATTGAAGGTCGAGGTCACCATGAAGTCTTGACTTACTTGACTTATGCTTTCTCGCTCTTTTAGAGCATAGGCCACAGACTATCGACCGTCATCTGAGTCGGGTCTGGGCGTGTTGTACAATGGTGCTCCAGGAGTAACCAGCTTAGTCAACTCTTCCATGGTTGATCTTCACCATGAGTTTCCGGGACGTCCCCTCTCTCGCCTGCCTTATGGGTTCCACTGTAGGGCTTCGTGGGTGGTGTTTCTGGGTCTTTTCGTAAGGTGTGCCCAATCCATGTCCATTTTCTTTTGATGACTAGCACCAGACGTGGTAGCTGCTCTGTTCTTTGCCAAGGTTCTTGGTTGCTGATCTTCTCTGGCCACCAGATTCTGAGGATCTTGCGCAGTGACTTGTTGATGAAGGACTGGATCACCATGAAGTCTACTTCTAGAAAATTATAAAGCCACGTGTCTTTAAATTAGAAATAATATACCGACGTTCAATCTGGCGTAAAACTCAACTCTCCCAATCTAAAGCAAACCGACAAAGGTATCCTAGTCAGAAAATAACATCATACATATCATGTACACAGGCGGTTGAATCAAGATCACCGATAAGGTTCCTTAATGTCAGATTGCCATGCAGCACATGTATATAGTCATTGAACTCCCGTTTGAGTGTTTTTCCTACGAAATATATTATTGACCCATTGGGGGCGAAATTAACACCTTCGGCAAGTAACGTTACCATTCAATACTAGTGACAAGCAGGTTAGCATGTTTCTTTATAAACATGCCACGAAACCACTGCAGCACTGACAGGTTTGGTACATTTCAGGATAAATCGAATTACGGGCTCATGGTACTATCGCTAAAATTATACGTTAATATTCCAAACAGGGATTATCTCAAAAGAGGGTCACTCTATCTCTATTTATGTGACATGATTGATTAGGTTACTAGCTGTATGCGTCTATTCAATTCCTTATTCCGTTAGTGTAGGCCATCGGCCCAAAACTACATACGTGTATGTACATGTCATAGACACGTGTTATAATTTAGATGTTGACTTTAAGTGTTTCGAGTGTTTCTACGGAATGGCTTTGCATGGTAAATAAACATTGCAAGATTCTTGGGGTACAATCGTTGGTCGACATAAGGATATTAAACGTAGCATTAGAAGGATATAAGTAATACTTTGTGAGTGTATGTGTTGCATATGTAATAATCTACGTTCCATGTGAAGATCCGATTTAGAGGTCGTATGTTTCAGCAAACAGTTGCCGTAAAGGCCAACATGGACCAGGGTGCCACAAAGGGATCTTAGCGCTAAGATGGTCCCAACCCCCTTAACATAGACTTACGACAGTTGAAGGAGTAAGGCTACTGTGTGCAACGGCACCGGGATTTTGAGGCTCATGGACTAGGTTGATGCATGTAATCTCAATTGCGTAGAGTGATGTCACGACAGTCAATAGTCACTGTGTTGGGTGTTGTTTAACGCTGCACTCAGCAATACTCCAGCTCTACGACGTCGGTCGGTAAATAATCGAGTCTGAACCAGACAATCCAGTGATCAACAGCATTAGCGTCGATTTACGCAAGTGGGATATGATGACATGTGTCAACCAAGTCAGCGAGCCTGACCACTCGATCCCGTTAGTCGGCACTTACGACAAGCATGGGTTACTGAAGACCAATTCTAATCCGGATCTTCACGGGTCCACTAGTCACTGAAGTCTAACTACGACGTTCACGTTTCTGGTGATGTTTCTACAACATGGAGAAAATGGACAAAGTTGTACCAATATTTTATGACATTATATTTTATCGGAAATCTAAATGTCGAAGACTAGCTATAGTGAGCACGTTCTTCTATCTTAAACCTGCAAAGGGCCATATTGATAGAGAGCATCGGACATAATCCGGACAGATCCGGGAACCGTATCTCTCAAGCTAACAGAGCCAAGTTGCAATACATTTGGTACAATTGGTCATCCATTGTACATATGTATCATCGATGCTTTGGTCAAAATGAATGATATAATCTCAGGTTCACAATAACAAGTCGTAAGTCAAATCAATAAATGCGATTATCAACAGCTGGAAAAAAGTCTATAATACGGATGACATTCACAAGTCATCCGGTGGCTGTCTACTAAACACACGTTTATTCACTCAGGTTCTGTGTGCTGTTGTGTGGATTGGTTGTGCTCATTGGTACAGTGGTACCTCCTGCCAAGTGAGCTGATTCCCCAAACACTCGCGTTTTAACATTACTGTACAAGCAGATAAGGTACATTGCGTTCTGATGGATAGTCAAGCTATCATTGCTGTAACTATCACACGGACATGTGTTTGCGATGCGCATAGCACATAGTTGCGTTTATTTGAATTGGCCTCATAAAATGAAAAGTGTAAATTTCCTTTGAAGTCATAAAAAAGCAAGTATTTTGTGTTTATGGTTGTAGTGAATTAATAACGCTTTATTTCCAGCAGTAGGTATATGCTGCCGTTCCGACTACTCTTCAATGCTGGCTTGTTTGTTACAGGACGGTCCTACTGCAATGCAACGTTTGATGGGTGGGGCTGCTGGAACCACACACTTGCGGGGGAGACAGCCTTCATTACCTGCCCCGCCTTCATCACCTTTAACCCAAATGGTACGTAGTCTTCATCACTTTAACCAAAAATGTGAGTAGTCTTCATCGCCTCTAGCCCGAATGGTGTCGTTATCACCTTTAATCCCAATGGTGAGTAATCGCCATCACCTTTAAACAAAAGGATGAATAGCCTGCATCACCTCTAACTCAAAGAGAGAGTAGCCTGCATCACCTTTAACCCACAAGATGAATAGCCTCTATCCCCTTTAACCCAAATAGTGAGTAGCCGTCATCACATTTAACCAAAATGGTGTGTAGCCGTCATCACGTATTAATTGTGTGAAGCCCATTTCCGGTGTCCCCCGCCGTGATATTGCTGGAATATTGCTAAATGCGGCGTAAAACAAAACTCACTCACTCACTCATCACGTATTATCCAAATAGTTAACCCAGCCATGTCATGTCTGGAGACTTCTCAAATGTAGCCACGTGGGAAATAAAACTGGGGTCTTCGGCAGAGTACGTGGACGCTTTAGCCACTGGGCTGCACCAACATTCTAAAACAAAACCACTATACATGCTGTCTTAGAAATATTAAACTGGTGTTATTAATCACATCATTAAACAGCTTCGTATAAATGGGCCACAAGAAGGGAGATAACTTTCTAAATTACACAACTTTTATAGCATTCATGGGTTCGCTCAATCACGAAAACTTTTAGATGTTTATAGGTTTTATATAACTTCAAACACGACGCATAAAGGAGTGATAGGAAAGCTATTCCAGCTCAAAAAAATCACAAATTATGTGCTGATTCTGATCTTAAGTAGATGCTACTCTCTGAAGCTTTTTGCTTTTAGACCAAATTATGTCCTTGATTATGGAGAACATGTTAAAATGATGTAGTCATGTCGCCATAAAAGAACCAGGAGACCTTTTATTAGTTGATTCCACTCTGATTCGTTTCATCATGAGAAAACCCAAATATAAGTTCTTTTTGCGTTGATGATGTTCTAAATTGACTCCATATTAAATAATGGAACAGTACGTAAGATATGTTTTTACGTATCTGAGGCTGTTTCTGCCGTGAATGCAAAGGCCCTTTTCAATAAAATGCAGGCACTGCATTATCAGAGAGTAGTTATTCTGTGCCACTCACATGATGTTTTTCTGAACATTGTGAATTGCGTTATGGTACGAACAAGTCCATCTGAAAAGGTTTTTCAGCATTTCAATTAGCTTGTGTCTATTTACGAAACTTATCGTTTATCGTAACTTTAAGAAGAATGGTCGCCTATGCTGCAATTTGATTGTCTGATTGGTTAAAAACGTTCTCATCTGGGAATCGACGTCCGAAAATCTTGAGGATTTTTCCCAGCGTGTGAATACATTTCTTGACAAGAACCATATCAGAGTGTGAGACGTGGATGGTGATAATGCCGCATTTTTTAAAGCAATACTCATCAGAAGAATATTAAATGAGTTGATATCTGTGCTAGAAGAATCACATATCAACGTCAATTGCATCATTACTATAAGCTATTACCTGATGTTGCTGAAACGTTGATGAGTGGATAATTGGGCTCCAGATTTTCAATAAAATCTGAAATACAAGTTCTCATTTATTGATCTGTTTCAGCGACTGCCTTCAGGGAATGCGGAGATAACGGTACATGGAAGGACCATCCGTTGTCTGGTCGACCGTGGAGCAACTACACAGCATGCCGGCAGAGAACGACCAAACAGGTCAGAGACACTTTCCCCAGGCTCGAACCACAGAGGATCATTTCCACATAACACGGGTCCCATTTTGCTGTTTAGTGACTGACTGAGTGCGGGGTTACGCCGCTTTTAGCAATATGTAAGCAATGTCACGGCAGGGGACAACAGAAATGGGCTTCACACAGTGTACCCATGTGGGGAATCGACCTCGGGTCTTCGGCGTGACGAGCGGACGCTTTAACCATTAGGCTACGCCACCGCCCCTTTGCTGTTTACCGTATCCATACTTGTAGGAATAAGGATATTGTAACAATGTGAGTATGCTTTCACGCCGTATCTAGCAAATTGCAACAATATCAAGGAAGGAGAAAAGGGTACCAATGTCGGGAATCGAACCCGGGCCTGTATCCACTTGGCTACCCCACCGCACCCTTTACCTGTGTAAACGTTCCTAATACTAACAGTACCTAGTGGCTGGACTGTCCAAACTCATCGCTATATGACGTATTGTCTATTTGACGTCATGTAGATATTGACGTCATTTCATCTGTGACGTCAGTCTGATATGTTACGTGTAAAATTGTTATTAAGTTTTACCATTTAGTCCCAATGGCACGATATAGTACATAGTTTCAAATCATGTACTAAAAGATAACTAAAGAATCTCCGTTATTCATTATGTTTGTGGAAAATTTATAGGTCGGGTGTAATCCTCAGAATCCTTTCTAATGTTTAAGTGAATGTTAAAGTATTATCGAATATAATTTGGAAAAATATATTTACAGAAAATAATTGTCCTAGTTTGTTATCTTCATAAAGAAGGGGTAAGTTTCAATCAGTTTCAAACGAAAATGTGAGAAAGTGTGATGTCGATGATGCAGTTATTGCTCTTTGTGTCACAGAAAGATTTGACCTACATACAATAAAATGATGTAATTTGAAACATTTTCTCCATCCACATTTTCCTAAGAAATTGGAATACCAGGTGACTGCTAGGATCTGGGTCGGTTCTGTGTCTATCACAAACACTTCCTGCCAACTGCTATGACGCAGCCGTTACAGCTGAAGCGAGCTAGGACTAGAGTTCTAATCCTGTTTGAAAACAGATGGTCCAAGACGTGAAAATCCCAAGATGGGAGCTGTCTTTATGACTCTCCCTGTCACACTTACCCTCACCTGCACCACCCCCATCCCACCCCATCCTACTCCCATTCTTTATGTCTGAGACCCGTGAAGATCCGGGTTAGAATTGGTCCTCATCAACCTATGCTCGTCGTGAAAGGCAACTGACGGGATCAGGTGGTCAGGCTCGCTGACTTGGTTGACAAACGTCATCGTATCCAAATTGCGTAGACCGTTTTTCTTGCTGTTGAAAAATGAGCTGTCTGGTTAAGACCCGATATTTACAGACAAACGCCATATGCCTGGAACATTGCTGAGTGTGGTGTTAAACAAACAAACAAACAAACAATACTTTATGGCTGAACAGGAAGTGACAGCTTTGCCTACTCTTATTTTTGTTCATGACTTTTGGTGTCCAACCTGTTTGCTACCAGTTCTTGATCACTGCACGTTCAGCAAGTTTCAGGTTCAATCACCTGGCCCACCTCACCTGCCCCACCCCACCCCACCCCACCCCACCCCACCCCACCCCACCCCACCCCACTGCATCCTTCTCCCATTTTTTATGTTTGAGACCCGTGAAGATCCGCGTTGGAATTGGTCTTCAGTAACCCATGCTTGTCGTAAAAGGCGACAAACGGGATCGGGTGGTCAGGCTCGCTGACTTGGTCGATGCATTTCATTGTATCCCAATTGTGTAGATCGATGGTCATGCTGTTGATCACCGGATTGTTTGGTCAAGACTCGATTATTTACATGTTGCCGCCATATAGCTGGAATATTGCTGAGCTTGACAAAATGTAACTCTCTAGTCACACCTCACCACACTCGATTTTGGACCATTTTGTTCGATATATTTAAAAGGTAATATTTGCAAAGCGCGTTAAATTCATATGACAAAAAACCCCACAGAGGTAAAGTCATGATGTTAATCATTATACACGTTTTATTCAATCCTGTTCACATTTGTAGTGTACCTGGAAAAATAACACTAACGGAATGCCGCGATATTTCGCCCAGATTAGATGGTAATACGAAACTAAACAAACCATTTCTATGCAAGTAAAACACCTTGGTGTTTGGCAGCAGGATAAAATGACAAATGCTAAAACAGTAAGCACATATTTATTATACACTGTGTCAAACAGCGCGTTATTGAAAACACCATTTGATAATGAATGAAATTCTGATGTACTTTAAATTAGAGATTGAATATCCTGTATTATTCTTCGATAATACTTTTCCAAAAATGCTTTTACTGTTTCCATGAGAATGATCCTATCTGAAGAGCGATCAAATGTTTCACGCAAATGTAGGTCGACATCTTTCAACAGCAGTGTCAAATCATGAATTTATGGAAGGACATTTCATTGATTAAGTAATCCTCGTGTTGGATATCGTATCACCATGGACGATAATTCACGTCCCCCGCGCTCAGTAATGAGTCTTGATCGGGAGCGATTTGCGTATGATATAAATTGGTACAATGGTGACGTGGTTTTCACCGTTACTCTCCTAATTGTTTTCTTTAGTAGGGAGTTTTACTCGTAATACCCTTCAGGTCAAATGCGTCCTTGGGGGCACGTATGACTTAGTGGTCTAGGTTTTGTCAATTATGGTAAAAACGTAGATCATATTTAGTACATTTACAGTCCCTTTCACGAACATACACATACTGTAGTGGTTAGCTTGCCAGAACCAAAGGTCTGAAGGAGCTTCTGGGTCTTTATGGCATGGCACATTGTGGCCATCTCCTTTGAACTGAGTGTGTGATCCTAAAACTAGCTTATCACCAAAATGGGATTCATCTGTGAACGAACGTTATAAAGAAAAATATAACGTATTTAATAAATTCTAATTAATTGTGAAGAGTCATAAACATCTTCAATAATCCTCTTCTCAGGCAACACACTGAGTTATCTGAAACATTGTTATATGTGACATCCCAAATGGATGAAGAATGAATCATAATCGTGTCAAAGAAATACCGAAATATCGTTTCTTTTTGTGGTAAAAGTGATAAAAAATTACAAAATGCAAACTTTTGAAACTTCTTCTCCGAAACAAGAAGACTTTAAACAGAATTATCATTAGGTAGAGTAGAAGCTGTGTGCTACATAAATCTGCTTATGACCACGATATTGTTTCTTTGAGAAAGTATACACTACAGTGATAAAATATGTTGGTTGACAATGTTGCTACTTTGACGTTCAGAAGTAATCACGGTATTCGGCGTAAAAAGTATAATAATAAGCGTGACATTTAACAAGGAGTTACTGTGCTGGAAATATGTTGAAAGCATAACGAAGATATATATTTCTTAGGCACCATAAATCATTATCTAAGCTGAACTGTGGTCATTCATGACTATGTTTCCAAAAGAGAAACCTATCTCACGTCTAAGAATTGTTGGAAAGAAATGGCATTATATGGCCATAAACAATGTCTCCTCCAATCACATTAAATAGCACACAATAATTGATAGTAAGGCATTTCCCGACAGTGAGATTAACTTATTATATCTGTTTCATCATCATCAGATCTTATATATGGAGGCCATAATCTCATATACATATATATATTAATATACATTTTCCAAACAGGTATTAAAGCGTGAACGAAAAAGGAAACAATTTCTCAAAATGGATACCATTTACCTGTCTACCTGCATAAATTATCTTACACCTCATTAAGATATATTCATGACATATATACGTATAGCTGGAATGAAATCTATATAATTTTAATACCTATTTTCTATTATTCTAACTTTATTCTCATGTCGTATGCATATAGATAAAGAAACTTCAGTCTTCAATTTTGTTCTGTTTGATTGGCATTTTAGAAGTTTGTTGGATAATAGAAAAGTATAATACTTTATGGATAACAACTTCTTTATTTATTATGATGCGACGTTTCGGTAATGCTTCTTATCACTCTTGCTTGACAACGGTATAAGAAGCTATACCGAAACGTCGCATCATAATGAAGAAAGAAGTTGTTATCCATAACGTATGATACTTTTCTATTCAATTTTGTTTTGCTTAAGGATATTGCTGACAGATATCATATTAACTTGCGAAGTGTTAGGCGAAAACCTACCCGGAAGTTCTTTATAAGCTGGGCATTTCAACCAAATGTCATATTCATAGATTTCTGAATCTACTTTACATACAGGACAATTTCTTTGAGATACATATGTTGCCATCTTCCTACGTTATCGTTTAAACGTAAGCCACCAGCTCTGAGTTTAATATACCAAATTGGAAGATAGATACCCCTCTGGCTCAAGAAGATTGTTATATTCTGTATATAACAGTTTATATCGTGACCTTTTTAAAGAGTAAATGTCCAATTTGGTAAAACATGTTAAACGACATTACCAAAAATAAGAACATCTCTTGTTCTGTATTCACTTGAGTCTTGCATCGGTTCTTTGATTCCTTACACCTGAATTCCCAGCTAATATTGAAAATGGACAACATTCAAAACAGCGTTCACCCAAACTCCTACACCCTCTTCATTTCATGACATTCAAGCCCACGTATGCCCACTAGCTTCGCAGTGATTCATTGATGCATAGTTAAGGAAGTAAAGAGCATCGATATTTCATAGGAAGGGTTATGATAAAATGTGTGAAAAAATATATTTTAAATTTTAGTTAAAGCGTGGGTGTACAAGAATTTTCTTCACATAGTAACACTTGAACCTCTATGTCGTTCTGTGGGCAGGGGAAAGCTGGGCGTATTAGCATGATCAAAGACATATTTTTGACATTTTCAAATGTGGGTGTGAAAAAATGGTGTCTTTCTACGCCTCTGCATTATCTTTTTATTTCCGTTTTCTGGACAATTAGCGTGATGATTGCTTAACCCTTATCAGCAGTCTTGCAGCTATTCGTGGCGATTTTGAAAATTATAGTCAGCTAAAGATAGAGGGATGAAACGTTTCCTGTAGTTAGTGTCTTTGTATCCGTGGAAACACATCCTACTGTGTTTTGTACATGTGCTGTTTTTTGTTGTTTACTGGTTAACGCCGTGGTACAGCTATATGGGACCGCCTCCGTGGTGTAGTGGTTAGAGCGTCCGCCCGGAGAGCGGAGGTCGCAGGTTCGATCCCCGACCGCGTCATACCAAAAGACGTTAAAATATGGTACTTGTTGGTCCCTGCCTGGCGCTCAGCATTTATGGGTACAACAAGGACTGGTCGGCTCGGAGTCAGTATAATGTGTCTGAGTGGGGTATTCATGCTTCACTGCAGCATGGTATCTCAGTGGGCTAGCACTATAAAACCAATAAAAGTCTGGGCTAGTACAAGCAGCCGCACATACACATACACACGCATGCACGTCGTCAATTTATGAGCGAAATATTCTCAAGCACGAAGTTAAACCCAATTTCACCTCACCTACAGATATATGGATGCGCTTGGACCTTGCCCCAAACCTTCGGACACTATGATTTGTACGTTCACAAGCCTGATCACCAGATACGTTACGAAGCCCCTTACCTTCCCTACCTAATCTAATGCAGGTTACGATGAATACATTCCTACTCGGTTTTAGGTTGTAAACTGTTAATTATTGGTCCACTATATATCGCTGTATATACTGTAAATCTTGACACATACGGCATCCTGACACAGGTAGTGGTGTTCAGTCTTGTGCATAGAGCCCAGGTCACAAATCAGTCGCAGTTAAGCATAGTCAGTCACGGAGAGTCTTGAATGGTTGACTGCGCTTAGCAGCTTGACTTCTTGGACTTCTGTCCTGCCCCAAAACGTTGTACACGTGACACATGTGGTTTCACCTTAGGGTGCCTCTGTTCACCCTGCAATGAATGGGTAGCTGCTGGGGTGAATCTTGTGTCTTAAATCTATCTGTCGCCAACTTCCGTTAACAGGGGTATTAACGCTTGGAGCATGTACAGGCGCTTTATAAATGTCCACGCCAGAGGCCTTTTTCAAAAATGATTGTTACTATAAGTGTACCTCTTCTGATAGCGGAAATACCAACTAAAACTCCACATCCCTGTGTATTGTGCAGCAGTTTTAACAAGACTATATACCAGTTACACTATATCATTCAAACGCTAGAATTTGCATAATGAACTTCTGCTGAGTTGTCATTGCTATGGTCAAGAGCTCTACTCCATCACAGCTATGACAATTCGCCGAGCAGCGAAACTGAAACTAACAACTACTTTAAAACGTAGAATGTAAATGTTGACATTGAGAAACATGCGCACATTCAAGTACTATTGTAATGACTGTCTTCATGCCAACTTCCTAAAGACGCAGACATTTGAAAAAGGTCTCAAAGTACCCTACATCCCCTTCGGTGTCTTTTCCTTCGGAAGTGAAGGATGACCGGAAATGCTGTGAAGTGGTTGGTGCGATATCTTAAGATGTTTCAAGAGGCAATTAGAACTCGTGCACTTTATCGTTTCAGCTGCTACAACTTGACTCATCGGACGACGATCGCCGTTTCATCTATATCTTCATTGGTGGATTTGCTTTTTCCATCGTGATGCTTTTCATCTCTTTGATAATCTTCTTTTCATTCAGGTAAGTGAACCAATCTTCATCATCTAGAAGCGTAAGGTGCTCTGTCGTTCGCAGATTAGGACCCGTGAAAATCCTTTTTAGAAGTGGTCTTCAGCAACCCATGCTTGTCGTAGCGGGACCGGGTGGTCCGGTTTGGTTGACACATGTCATCGTTTCCCAATTGCTTAGGTCGATACTCATGATGCTGATCACTGGAGTGTCTGGCAGATACATTTCAGACCACCGCCATATAGCTGCTGGGTGTACGTAAAGATAAAACAAAGGATGGCTTGGCGTGCAATATTTGACACGACTACATAATCACTGAATGTACAGCAGATGATATGACTGTATATGATGTGTACAAGCACATCAGGGTTTGTTATGCGGACATTGAGCAGGATTACAGCTGTACAACGCGGTCTGAAAACAATCGAGTCTGGACCGGACAGTCCAGTGAATGACACTGTGAGATGCGATGCCTGGACATGTGTTTATGAATAAAGTAATGATGCTACCAGGTGTTCTCGAAAAGTATATGTACAAGGGATTGTCTTGCCAGATATTCACACTCACCCACATGTATGCCCGTTCCTCATTAACATGTCAATATCTTCCATTTATTCCTTGAAACAGAACAAACATAAAATGATGTAAAACATAAAAAAAATAGTGAATTACCCAACATCCTTCCTGCTATCATTTGATCTAGAAATACCAATATAAATTACTTGCTATAGCTAATAAATCTGATACTTTTTTAATTAACGGCAATGACAAACAGAGTAAGTGGATTAAGCAACGCCCCTAAGCGTTCCGCTAATAATGGATCTCATCTTATGAAGTGAAATTGATGTCGGCCACGATTGTTGTATGGTAATGGTTGTCTTATGAAGAGTAATGATCAAGAAATAGGCCTTAGGGGATGGAACGGAAATATAACTCTTGTGGAATTTGTTTGTTTTGAAATTGATTATGACATGTGCGTTATCGATATGAAATCTGTACGTTTTATCTCTTCTATTTGCATGGACAGTCTCATATAAATATGAGATGCAGCGACAGCCTTGAAATTGAAGTGATCTAATTTGGCTTCTAAAGTGCCGTTAAGTACGGACTGATATGCATATCAGCTTCAGGTTGATTTCGAAATTCCTTTCCGAGGGTTGGATTTCATTTTGCTGGTAAACACTTGTTCTTGAAGTTAATGTGGAAATGTCGACGGGCTGAATATATCACTCTCAGCAGCCTAACCTAGCCATCAAGTTCTTGATTTGTTCTACGATGGATTTCAGGGAAGCCACAAGAGCCATAAAAAACGGAAACTGCAGTGAAGTGTTTCAGATGAAATCCCTCGCAAAATTCGTGGTTTTGAGTGAGTGAGTCTCGTTTCACGCCGCACTCAACAATATTCCAGCAATATATAGCGGCGGTCTGTGAATAATCTAGTCTCGACCAAACAATCCAGTGATCAACAGCATGAGCATCGATCTACGCAACTGGGATACGATGGCGTGTGTCAACAAAGTCAGCAAGAGTGACTACCCGATCCCGTCAGTCACCTCGTACGACAAGCAGGTGTTGCTGAAGATCGATTGTAACCCTGGTTTGAATCCTGGTTCGCCTGGTTCACCCCGAATTTGGTTCCAGGTTTGTCAGAACAATTCTCGTGCTCGCGGGTGTCACTAAGGTGGTTAATATCTGGGAAGGGCATTGCTCCGGGTGTTTCTCCCACATTAAGCAGGCACACAGTGATATAACCGGAACACTGTTCCAAATGGCGTGAAAATCTTACAGTGCTCCTTCAGTTATTCTCTAGTTGTGAGATAGACATGACGTGAATCAGATATAGTATGACGTCACAAACGAATGCTATGGCCTCATCAACCAATGCCAGCACATACTTCCTAACTGGACTGCTTTGTGTAGCAGAATCCGGACGTGAAACCATTTTTATTGATAAATAATATTAAAACGTATGTTTTACTTACATAATATTTATTCCGATTGCTGATTTTTCAAACTTGGAAAAACAAAACATTATCATCAAGAAACGCATTCACACTCAGCTAAAACTTACGAAAAATGTCCAGGGTTCGAATTCCGTCAAGAAGTACTTTCAAATATTTACTACAGCAAACATACTATCATTCAGTTGTCGTTCTCTTTGTAATTGATCACACGATGGTCCAAACATTTCCTTTCATTCTGGGTTCGAACCCCAAATACTCGTGAAGATCCCGGTTAGAATTGGTCTTCAGCAAGCCATGCTTGTCGTAAGAGGTAATTAACGGGATCTGGTGGTCAGATTCGCTGACTTGGTTGACACCTGTTATCGTATCCCAATTGCGTAGATCGATGTTCATGCTGTTGATCACTGGATTGTCTGTTCCAGACTCGAATATCTACAGACCGACGCCATATAGTTGACATGTTTGCTGAGTGCGGCCTAAAACTAAACCACTGATTATTGTGCTAGCACTATGCCCATCCCGATGGGTTTCACCGTGACGGTAAACGTTGGAATCCTACAACAGTTCCATATCATGGCAAGACGTGATATAACCGAAAAATCGGTTAATTGGGTTGAAGTATACGACAGATAGGAATGAGATGAAAAAATGTTAAGAGATGACGTTTCTGGCGTATTGATATACAGAACTGGGCGTTTGATGGGCATTGGATTTCATGTAGTCATTTGATAATATGAATCTGGCGTTCAATCTAGTGACCTGCTGGTATATATATATATCACTAACGAGACACAGGTAGAGATCTGGAAGAATTGGATGTTCTTTAATTTATTATTTTGAGTAATATATATTTGTAAACTAGTGACAGCATCAATCAATTTGTGTTAAGGATGACCATCCATATGCATTCCATCTTCAACGAGGGGCGGTAGGGTAGCCCAGTGGCTGAAGCGTTCACTCGTCACGCCGAAGACCCGGGTTCGATTCCCCACATGAGTACAATGTGTGAAGTCCATTTCTGGTGTCCCCCCACCGTGATAGTGCTGGAATATTGCTAAAAGCGGCGTAAAACCATACTCACTCACTCACCCCTCGTATCTGCCACCATCTGGAAAACAGCAGACTGTGGTAGAAAAGACAATACAAACGCCAACTTATCTCTAAGCATCCATAAACAATATGAAAAGTATGGATTTCGTTGTCGATTTAATCGCGTTTTGGGGGGCAGAGATCGCGAGTGGAGTCTGATAGGAGCGTGACTGCATAGCAAGCAATCGCCACAGGACCACAATGGCGAGTACGGTAGTGTTTAAGCACACCTACAACGCAGCCGTGACATTTGAAGTAATTCGCAAATGTTAATGTCAGAAAAATTCCTTCTTACATGTTCAAATATATCCTCACGCCGAGTTGTATCAGCAGTCGTACTTGCCCGATGTCACACGCCATGAAGATCCATTATGGTTTGCAGATGTAAACACACCCTTTCCATCAAGCAAATTGGTCAGTCTATAAGGTAAAGTAATTACGCCAGCACCGGTATTCTCTTGGGTATTAAACTGCCATGTATTCTTCATTCCACGGCACCGACCTCTTTAATACCTCTGTCTCATTGGCGAGTGATGGTGTTTAAACAGACCTACACGTCAGTTGTCTGGTATATTAGGAGAGCTATATGTCATAGTTTACACAGTAATAATATCAAATAATCATATTGCAGCTATGTAGAAGTAATTGAGACCAAACATACATGAGGTTGATAGAACGAATAACAATCACACAGAACCAACAAAAGCTCGCAGTGTAAAGGTACCACATCTTAAGCTTCTTTGGTAGGCATCTAGAAGTTGGAGCAGTAAGGAAGGATAACAATATATGGATGAACAACTTCGTTATTACAGTGAGAGCAACGTTTCGGTGTAGGTTTTAACACTGTTATCAAGCATATGATGAACTGAAAAAAGGAATTGATACTCTCTGAAGAATATATACATCTGTATACTGTGAGAGCAACGTTGCGGTGTAGTTGTAACGCCGTTATCAAGCAACTGATGAATAGAATAAGGAACTGAGAGGCATATATGCATCTGCATACTGTGAGAGCGACGTTTCGGTGTAGTTCTAAGGCATTGGGTGGCATACAATTGTAGGGAAGCGTTTTTACAGTACAATTACACATCTGAAGCCTTGATATGATGGGCATACAGTTCAAGAGGTGTTACACCGTATTCAATCACTTACCACGTCTTAACTTAGCAGGTGCCGGGAGTAGAACGTTCTTCTCTTCTTGTACCCGATAAAAGCTACTGTATATGGAATGTGGGGGAATTCCTGGTTACAATGGGCTTCTATATGCATGGTGGTTGAAAGAAGCGACTGGGGTCAGACTCTATGACTTGATGGTGTGGACATACCATTTCCTACATAATATTGTTTATTTGTGTTTTTTTTGTTTAACGCTGCATTTAACGATATGACGCTGGTCTGTAAATAATATTAGTCTGGACCAGATAATCATGTGATTGACATCATAATCATCGATCTATGCTTTGGAATACGATAACACACGACTGTGTCTGACCTTTCAATCCCGTTAGTCACTTCCTACGACAAGCATGGGTTGCTGAAGATCAATTCTAGCTGATCTAGTCTTGTTTTCTACTTATGCAGGAGATATATGAATATATTTGTCGTACTACGACGCTTGCTTATAAATTGGGTTTGGATGTAAAAAGACACTTCTTAAAACATTTTTCTTCTTCTACGATAAAATCCTTTCATTATTCAAAGGAATCGATTGTTCGATTTTCGACTATTTCGCGAGCATGGGTTATATACGCTATATAAGATAGTTTACTTTACCAGAGTTATTAGCCAAATAAATGCCAAACATACAAGACATTTATATCATTATAACGTGTACATTGACCATGTACATTGAAATTCGATTCTCAACTCCCTGGGGAGGATGCATTTGTAGTTGCTATTCACATCAAACTCTCATGAGTGTCATAAGGCCATTGGCTGGGTGATCTGGGAGATCTAATT